TTTTTTTTTCGTAACTTGTCTGTTCATGGCCTTTTAAAAAAAATGTCACTACCAGTATACCCTTATTTTACGCAGGTCTTTGTCTCCTTCAATGTTCAAATTCTCACAAGAGGTCTTCTACCACAATTCATTCCTTTCACAATAAGATAGGCAATTCTTTGTCGAAACGTTTACATTTATGTTTGAAGATAATTTATCGGATATTTGAACTAGTATATGTCTCCAAAGCAGGCAGTACTCACAAACTGTTTTGGGAATAATTCTTAGACGTCACGGATTGAGTTGATTAGCTGTTTAGATTTGCGAATCATTCGTGTTTGATTTTATGCCTGACACCCTTGGATCTCTCATCGATAATAATGCACTCGATTTTGTCGACATAAAACTTTATACTTGGCAAATGTTCAATGGGCTTCAGTATCTTTGCCAAGTTGGTCAAACCATTGTGACTGGCATAACGTGATATATATAAACTTCATGCGTTTTCAGCTTCAAATCATGCACAGAGATATAAAACCTGTAAATATTCTTGTCGATCATTTGCAAGGACTTTTGAAAATAGGTGACTTTGGTTCTGCCAAAGTCGTCAGGCCAGGAATGAGTTCAACCCCATATCAAGTGAGACTCTTTAAAATTTCTAGAAGAGTTGTAGAGATTAACGGATTCGTATAGGTAACACGCTTTTACCGACCTCCTGAGTTACTGCTTGGATCGGAGAACTACAATTGGACTGTTGGTATGAGAAGGATGGGATGGTAACTTGTTTGAAAAAAGCATTGACGTTGCTGTTAAGATATATGGTCGGCAGGATGTGTGTTGGGTGAAATGGTAAAAGGAAATGTTTTGTTTCCTGGGCGGGATACAAAACATCAATTAAAGTTAATTCGACGTGCACTTGGCAGCCCAACAGAAGCGGATATGAGGTTTGTTATCGCACAGCAAGGTAAAGGACTTAAAGTGATCATAGTTCATTGAAGATCTATGAAAATACCAAAACCACCTGATCCACTCGCTGAAAGAGTCGCGGGAACTGGACTCGCTGCGGTAGCGCATTTACTTCGCAGGAGTAAAAAGATTTTATAGCAACCCTCGTTCAGCTTCTTCCTTCTGCTCGACCTGATGTTGTGTACTTTCTCAGCAAGATACTTTTGTATAGACCTCGATCTCGGTTAGGTGGAAAAGAAGTACTTCGCGATCCTTTCTTCGACTCAATATTTCGGTTTGCAAGCGAAATTTGCGTGAAGTAAGTGACATCAGCCAAATAATTTTCAGAGAAGGTGCAAAAAGGGCCAATGGACAACTTATCTCGCAATGTATCACATCCGCTGATATAGCAGAAGCCCACTCAATGTGAGATCGAATCATATTGCGGAAACTGGAATCTCATTTTTAAAACATCGTAAATTGAGGAAGTGTCACAAAATTACTTATTTCAGAGACGAGTCAAAAGTTAAAACAAAGTTAAGTTCGATATTAGTAAAAACAAAACTAGACTTCAGTTGCGATGATGAATCAAAAGATAGCAAAGATGGAGTAAAGGTAGGCATCTTATGCTTGGACAAATTGAAATCATATTAGCAAGAAAATTCTAGAACTCTGGTGTTTCTGGCACTGAGTCCGCTGAGGG